AGATAGGGTTTTCTTATGTAGTTCCAGCTAGTCTTGATCCCACTATAGATCCCAGGCTGGCCTTGAACTTGAGATGATCCTCTTTCCTCAGCCTCTGAGTACTGGGGCGACAGATGTGCACCACCACACCCAGCTATCTTGTAATAATTTAAAGGCACTTTTTTTTTCTTTTTTTTCTTTTTTTTTCTTTTTTTTTTTGACGAAACCGGGGATTGAAATCAGGCCCTTGCACTTGCCAGGGAAGCGCTTATTCCACTGAGCCATCTCCCCGGCCCCTTAAAGGCACTTTTATTTCCATCATTTCCTTGGGTCTTCTCAGCAATGCTGTGGTGTAGGCAGGACATCTGTCACAATATTGTCTTTTATAAATGAGAAAACTAAGGCTCACGTAAGTCAAAATGGTTTGCTCCAAGTCCCACGGCTAGTTACTATCTGAACTAGGACACAGACCTCAGTCTTGGAACGCGAAGTTTCTTTCCTGGTCTGTGTCCTAGTTCACACAGCGACTAGCTATAGAATCTTGAACAAGTTATTTAACTCTCTGTCTTGGCTTCCCTAATTGTACAGTGAGTATAACAATAGCATATAGCTCAGATATTGAGTGATATTGTGAGTAACAGTTGCATGATGTGCTTGACATGTATTAGGAGTGTGGGAGCTGTTAGCTGGATCTGAGGTGAATAAGTGACCTTAGCTAAAGAAAATCTCAGTGAACTAATGCTAGCTCATATTGCACCTGGTATGAAGGTAGCACATGTGTAAGCCTTAGGTGTCACAATTATGTCCTTCTTGGTTTTCTGCAGACTTCCACCTAGAGGGGAACCCAGCCAAAGACTGTTGCTTCCTAATTCTCTTCTCCTCTCTCTGACCCTTCTCTTAATATCTCAGAGTTTGGGATGAAATGAAATGTGATCCTGATCATAAAAATAATGTAGGCACAGTGGCTGACACACAGCTACTTGGAGGGGAAAGCAAGAGGGTCACGTGAGCACAAAAGCTTCGGACCAACTTAGGCAACAAAGTAAGACTTCATCTAAAGAAAAAGTTGGCAGCCTCTGCTTATAATACAAGTGGCTTCTATAAAGAGGCGGAGCACCAAGTGCAGGGTGGATGCCTGTAACTCCAGCTCCTTGGGAAGCTGAGAGAGGAGAATCAAAAGTTCCAGGCCATTCAGGGCAACTTAGTGAGACCCTCTCTTAAAATAAAAAAGGGTCTGGGGTTGTAACTTAGTGGCAAAACATCCCTAAATTCAATCCCTAGTACTACAAAAAGGAGAGGGGAACAGAGAAAGAGAGAAACACATTTTTCTTGAATTCTTTATGAAAATAATTACAGTTCTCTAAATGCCCCCTCTAATGCCAGGTATTGTAGGTCACTGTTAACTGAAATGCATGTTGCCATCCTCCATATCCAGTCTGTGTCCATCTTGGTCAGGGATGCATCAGGCATCAGCAATTTATTTTTTCTTTTTTTTTTTTTTTTTTTTTGTATTTTAAGGAAGGGTCCACAGGGTGTTCAGAGACTCACCACTAGATCAGACTTGTAGTGATCTGCCTGTTTGCTGCCTCCCAAGGTGTGGGATTACAGGCGTGCACCACCACGCCCAGTCTCAATTGCTGGCTCAGTGTACCCCAGGGGCAGGGCTGGCATGGCAGGCCTGAGGATCGAACCCCCGGCAGGCCCCTGCACCTGCTTACAGGCACTTTAACCTGCTGAGCTATTTGGCTGGCCCTAGGCAATTTCTTTTCTATTTCTATGTATTTAGTACACAGTCTGCAGGGTCTCACTACACAGATGGACTCATAGTGATCCTCCTGTTTTCAGCCTCCCAGGTGCTGGGATTATAGACATGCACCACCATGCCCAGTCTAGGCATGAACAATTGCAATGGGCCAGCCTAATTGTTAGGCTCAATGTGGCACCTGCCCACCATTGCTTTTCCTTTTTGCTATTGTCGTTGCTCACCCTATCCATGATGTGCTGCTTTGGTCCTGATAGAGTGACTTCTGGAGAAATCGATTTCTAGCCCTGCTTTGCATAGATTAGTTGTGAAGCCTGGTAGTGTAAGTACTTACAAATCCCACACGCTTTTAAAGGAATATTCCCCCATTTCACTTGCTCCAGTTTTCCTTACTATTCTTTTTTCTTTTTTAATTTAATTTAATTTTTTTTCTGCGGTACCAGGGGTTGAACTCAGGACCCTGCGTTTGCCAGGCAGGCATTTATTCTACTGAGCTATCTCTCCAGCCCTTTCTAGTTTTCCTTTCAACTTTTTTTTTTTTTTTTTTTTTTGTAGACCCAGGGATTGAACTCAGACCCTTGTGTTTGCCAGGGAAGCACTTATTCCACTGAGCCATCTCCCTGGCCCCCATTTCCTTTCAATCTTTAAAGAAAATGACTTGAGACTCTTTGGCCCCTTAGCTCCAGCCAGTTCCTTATCTACTTTCTGGAAAGTTTTGCCCAGTGGTGCAGGCCCTACATACGTACCTTAGCAGCTAAAAGTCTACAGCTTTCCTGCCTTGGATGGTGTGTAAATACTAGATCTGTGGGAGAAAACGGCCACTTACTTGTGTTGAATCCACAGGCACATCTCTCCCCTTTCTGAGCCTGAACTTTATTTTCTTTCCTTCCTCCTTACCCTCTAATACTGAGAGTTGAACCCAGGGCCTCATACATGCTAGGCAAGTACTCTACCATGGAGCTATAATCCCAACCCTCCACACCCTCCTCCCCTTCTTCCTCTTCCACCTTCCTCCACACCTCACCATCCTTCCTCATCCTCTTTTATTTTCTTTTGAGACAGACACGTTCTGGGGCTCAGACTGGTCTCAAACCTGCCATCTTTCTGCCTCAGCCTCCAGAGCAGCTGGGATAGCAAGTGTGTGCCACCATGCCCAGCCCAACCGGAATTTTCTTAATGAAGCATGCTAAAATCTCTGCCCCTTTTCTTCATTTCCTGTGATTGGCATGAGCATTCATAAAGACATTTTATAAGACATTTGTGAACTATAAAATGTTGTGCGTGTTTACAGTTAGTGTCATTCTTGTAGAAACAGTGACTATATTCCTGCCTTCTTTCTAAACTACTCCTGTCACTGACCCAGAGCTAAGAAAATCCTACCCATCCAACTGTTGTGGAGGAAATTCACTACCAGGGGATTTGTTCTGTTTATAAAGAGGTCACTGAGAGGGAACTAGAGTTTTACATTAGAACATATAGCTGAAGAACAAAGTTGTAGCTTACAGCACTTGTCCACAAGGCATCCTGCAGCCCAGGGTAATGGTTGTGCTTTCTTCTTCAGACCGATGACAGCAATGGGGACTTGGACCCAGGAGTCTTGCTGACAGCCCAGACCATCACATCTGAGACCACAAGCAGCACCACCACCACTCAGATAACCAAGGTAACAGAGCAGCCAGAGCTTGCAAATGAGGTCTAGAAGCATGCTGAGCTTGTTGCCATCCCTTGGAAAAGGACCCAGGTCCATAATCAAAGGCTTCAAGCTCCATCCCTAATTGAGCCAAGTGTTCCAGGTAGCAGGGCCCAGCTGCTCTGCCAAGCAATAAACTAGAGAGACCGTGAGAGCACCTCTGCTACTTAGCAGTCTCATAAAGCCACATGTAGTCATTTTCTGTTTTTCAGGTGCTAGGTAGCTGTGGAGGTGAGTGTAAAAGTCCCCTTGGGCTTGGCATGGTGGTGCCTGCTTGTAATCTCAGATACGTGGGAGCCTGAGCCCAGAGGATTATCAGTTCAAGGGCAGCCCAGGCAATTTAGTGAGATGTTGTCTCAAAAAAATAAAAAGGACAGGGAATGTAACCCAATGGTAGAGTGACCTTGGGTTCAACACCCAGTACCAGAAAAAAAGAAAAATTCTTTAAAGTTCACTTGTTTTGGAATAAAGCTCAGTGGTAGAGCACTTGACTAGCCCTGGGTTTGAGTCCTAGCATCAGAGACAGAGAGAGGGAGAGAGGGAAGGAGAGAAAGGAGTGAGTCTACGGGTAGATATCATTCTTATTATGATAAAACCATGCTTTCCAAGCCAAAAATCAGAATTCCAGGCCTGGCAAAGAATTTTTATGTCATGTCCATAGTCAAAGGTATAGGGATTATAGTCTAGATGCTAAATATTGGAATTTATAGAATATAGTTTAAAGGCTAGGAATGTAATTTGCTTAGCATGATAAGGCCCTGGGTTCAATGACCAGTATGCAAAACAAAACAAAAGAATATGATTTATAAGAAACAATAGGGACAAAATATCTAAAACCCTACTCTCCTTAGAAAACCAGAGGCGACCATGTTTGGTGCAACAGGAGAGGAAAATACAGTTCTACAAGAAATTGCAGTTCTTTTTATTTTTTGGCAGAACCAGGGATTGAACTCAGATCCTTGCGTTTGCCAGTCAAGCACTTATCCTACTGAGCCATCTCCCCAGGCCCCAGAAATTGTAGTTCTTGACCAAAGTGTGTCAGTCAGCACGCAGAGGACTGAAATCCAGTGATTTAATTTGCCTAGAGCCTAGTTTTCCTCATTTGTCATGGAAACCTACCCACCTTCAGGAGATTATTTGAGGATCTTTTGACAGGAGTAAGATCTCAATTTTAAGCTGTGTGACACTTTTGTTAATAGTCTTCTGATTCTTTTTTGTCCTGAAAAAATATCTATGAAGAAAGAGAGGTACTTGTTTTATTTACTTGCTACATATCTGTAGTGTTTGGGAGGGGGAAAGAAAAGAATTGTAAGCCACTGGAGAACTGTGTCTTTGTGCTCAGCTTATTAAAAGTGGAAGCAGCCCAGGGGAGCGCGGGTATGTTTATTTTGCAAGTCCTCCAGGTATGGAGATAGCCCTCCCAGACTGAAATGTGGAGCTTCAGGCTAACCTGTGCTGTGTGGTTTTGTTTTTCTTTCTTGTTCCATTGCTGATCTCATCTGCCCACCTCCTGTTGGTACCAGACTGTAAAAGGTGGGATTTCAGAGACCCGGATTGAAAAGAGAATTGTGATTACAGGAGATGCTGATATTGACCATGATAAGGTAAGAATGCTAAGGAGATTCTGAGCATGAGACAGATTCTGAGCATGGATACAGGAGTAGGCGTACAGTGGATACCTCTGCCCTCATCATCTGCAGAAAACTTCTTTGGCTACTTCAGCTCTTGAGAAGAAAAACAGAATCTAACCACAGAGGCAGGTGGGCTAGGAGCTGCAGATGGTAAAGCCAGGAATTCAGCAGAAAGAACATGGCTCTGGGCTCAGCCTCCAGTGCAAGTGCTGGCTATTGCTGTGTTACAGCTCTTAACCCCCGCACCTCTGCTCCTTCATCTCGAAACAGTGGATTAGCGTGTCCTCCTTTCAAGGTCTTTGTGCCTAGCAAGTGAGATACAGGACGCAGGGCATGGAACAGGCACACGGTGGCTCCCAGTAAATGGAGCTGGTTTTGCTCCTACACCTGTCCCTACACCTGTGCTGGATGATATCAAAGCAAGAGGAGGCCTGGTCCCTTCCCCACAGCGCTGTAGTTGCTGAGAAGACAGCAAGGGGAGCTGGGGGTGGACAAGCCACCAGAGACTTGGACCTTGGTTCCTGCTCTAGAGGCAGCACCATCTCGTGTGACCTTGGGCAAACCGCTTTGCCTCTGATGTCTTTCCTCTTCTAAAAGAGAGTGCATTGATCTAGATAATTTCTGGGCCTTTCTGGGTGCAAAATTTCTATGTTTTTATGTTAATGAGGTGCTAATTGTGTGCTACAAGCAATTAGCAAATAATAAGGTCAGGATTAATGTTCCTGATTTTCTGCTGGGGAGGTTAGAACAGTAAGCTGCAGAGGAGAGGGGGTGGAAGAGACTGCATACAGATGCTTCTGGAATCATTGACAGGATTGCTAGAGCTGTAACTGTGGCCTTTATGCTGATGTGCTGAATGTCTTTAAAAAAAAAAAGAAGAGAGAGAGAGAGAGAGAGAGAGAGAGAGAGAGAGAGAGAACTGAGCTGCAGTGCTGGCAGTTCCCTTAGTAGCAGGGCTGAGACTTCAGACTGAAAATACTGGGTCCAGGGTCCCAGAAACAAGGTTCAGAGCCTGGGGGCGGGGCACGCAGTCCATTGCCCAGTGCAGTGCGCCTGGCTGCGTTACCAGCCTGAGTGTGGGTGTGACTGAGCCCCTGCTCTGTACTCAGACTGCACTAAGAGCACTTGCGGAAGGTGTACTTGGTGGTGAGGCAGAACTGGGCTGAATCCTAACTCTGACTTGCAGTGTGCACCCCTTAAGCGCTCATTACTTTTGAGCTGTCGTTTGACCATCTGTAAAATAAAGATTGTCAGCTGGGTGTGGTATGCTCACCTGTAATTTCAGCAAGGGTCTCAAAAGACAAAACAGGAGGGAGAGAGAAAAAAGGAAAGATCATCAAAGGTTTCTTCCAGGGTTTTGTAACAAAAGAATAAGCAACTTGATAACCTCTTTGGTTTTGATTTTTTTCTTCTTTTTTCCTGCAGTACCAGGGATTGAACTCAGGCTCTTGCGCTTGCCAGGCAAGCACTTATTCTACTGAACTATCTCCCCAGGTCCTGGTCTTGATTTTTTGAGAGTGTCTCACTGTGTAGCCTAGGCTGGCCTTGAAGAACAGTCCTCTGCCTCAGCTTCCCATAACACTAGGATTATAGACGTGCACCACCATACCGTATGACAGCTCTGAGGGGTGTCCCAGGGCCCTCCAGCTGAGGGACACACGGGGAAAGGTATTCTCTGCAGGCAGGGAGGCCGCTGGGGAGAGCAGTGTGGTGCAGGCTTCCATGCAGAAGGCAGAGTCCTCAAGGGATGGCTTCGGCTACACCAGAGACGTGAGCAGATGAGTTGGGAAAGCAGGACCGGGGAGGATGTGCAGGGCTCTGGACATGTGGCGGGTCCGCAGATGCCTTTTGTGGAGCCAAGAGACTCGAGGAGAGTTTCCCCATTCCCTGTCCCACATAGAGATGAGTGAGCAGGGTGAGCAGCCAGCTAGCCAGTTCCAGCCCGAGTCTGTCAATGGGGCAGAGCTCAGAGACTGGCAGCCAGAAGAGTGATGGCGCCGCCTTCCTGGGCCTTCCCTGTGCTCTCAGCCTTTCTGCCTCCAACTCCTCCAGGGGCTCGGAAGCAAAAAGTCAGTGTGGTAAAGATTTGTGTTCAAATCCCAGTTACATTATTTCCTGGCTATGAAACAATAAGCACTTCATTGAATCTTCAGGGATTGTCACACAAATCTAAAATGCAAATACTGATACTGCCCTAATTGATTCAGGTGTTCCAAGATTAAATAATAAGTGATGTTCTTGAGCCGGGCTTGGCCAAATCATAGGCCTGCCTTCCTTCTACTTTAGCAAAAGACATCTCTTCCCTTTTTTTGAGACAAGATCTCATTATGTGGCCCAGGCTGGCATCAAGCTTGAGATGCCCCTCTTGCCTGGCACTGGGCCTGCAGGTATGCTCCTCCACATGCAGCTCATCCCATCCTTTTTGTAGCACACGCCTTTACCTTCCTCTCTTTTCTTGAACTTCCTGCTTACCTGTGTTGAACACGGATTCTCTCCTGCACCTTTGAGTGGCTGCAGCTGTCATCCTGAAGCACCTCTCTGGCTCCCTGACAGCACAGCTCTGGCCTTCCCTGTCTTTTTTGCCTGGGGCCTCCCTTTGCAGAAGGAGGGGACAAAGTCATCCCAGGTTTGGCCTAGGTTTACATCATCAAGAAGTGATGGCCCAGGGCTAGTGAGATGGTTCAGTGGTCTAAAGCACCTACTTAGAACAAGCTAAGTTAAGCAAAAGCACAGGGACCTCGGTTCAATCCCCAGCACCACATGCCAGCCAGCCCCACCCCCTGGTGGGCTGAACTGGCCACACACATACAAAATGAATAAATAAATAAATAAATTTAAAAAAAAAAAGAAGTGATGGCCCAGCCCTGGCCTGCCTTCCCCTTCCAGGCTGCTCTGGCCTGATAGTGTTCTGCGTGTCTTTCACAGGTCCTCGTACAAGCCATCAAGGAGGCAAAGGAGCAGCACCCAGACATGTCAGTGACCAAGGTGGTCGTCCATCAGGAAACTGAGATCTCTGAGGAATGAGCTCAGGTAGGGGGTGTTCTGGATTGGGTTGAGGACCCCATTGTGGCCGCCTGGGAGCACTCTAGTAGGGACTGTGGACACTCTTCGGGCCCATCACTGGCATGTGATAAAGGACAAGTAGAGAAGATAACAAAGTAGTATGTGGCTCCAACCGAAACAGCAGGTCATTTGTGTCCTGCTCTTAGCCGTGCCAACAGTACTAGGTAGAATGCCTCCCAAACTCACATGTAAAACTCCACGCACTGCCTAACACTGGCTTCCCCTTTACCATCCCCTGCTTCTGCCGACTGGGTCACAGGTATGTCAGAGCCTGCACCTGGGAGGAACAGAGGACAATGAAACCAGAAAGAGCTAGGCCACACCCATCAGGTGGAAGTGCAGGGCTCATGTCCCAATTGTCATTTATGGCCACTTGGCAGTGGGCCCGAGAAACTGGCTCCTTTGCAGAATTTTAAAATGTGCTTCTTTCTTTCCTCTAGGAACTGTCCTAACCCCAACTCCCTGCCCTTCTCCCACCCAAGAGAAACCAGCAAAATGATTGGGGAGCCAGCCTGCAATAGTCAGACTTTAGACTTGCAAGTTATCCTAAACCACCAGAAAATTAATTTCTTTTTCTATTTGGAATTTATAACAAGAGAATCTTCTAGATGCCACTCATCCTTTTGAAGATCTTTTTCTATATTGTGATACCAGAAGTTGTTCAACTTTTCACTCTGTGGACTGTTTTTAGAATTCTTGGCTTTTTTATGGGGTGGTTTGTAACCCCTGCAACAACCCTCTCCCTACCTATTTCCAACCCAGTTACGGACAGGATCCACAGAATTCCACAAGATCCTCCCGAGACTCTGTCCCCTGGGTTGGAAGCCAAAGCCAGCGCCATGGGACATCCCGCTCCTCCCCTACCCGTATACCCTTGGATGAACAGCAGAAACTTCATGACCCAGATTTCTGAGAACCAATGATGTGACTTTGCCAGAATGCCAGGCAGGGTGACTGCCCTGATCCACAGCTTTCAGAAAAATGTCCCATCCCTTCATCAGGCTGTTTTTGGTGACGCGGAGACCTCTCCTGAGAATGTAGTATTGCTTTACCCCCTTCCCCACCTGCTCTTTCAGTTTTGGAGCTTCTTTAGGTCAGACAGAAGTTGCTTCAGATGCATCTGATACTGTGAATGTTTGAACATATCTGTGGCCTTTATGTCCCCCTTTTCCTTGTACCTCATCAGAAACAGTGACTCTGCCAAGCTCCCCCAAGCTCCCATCTCAGGAGACCAGAACTCATGGAAAAATAAGCACTTTTGGCCAGAAGTTCTAATGGAACATTTTAATGGTGGTTTGGGGAAGGAAAGTTAGTAAGATTTTAAATATAAAGTCTTCTGGTTCTGGGAGGGTGTACTTCACAGAAGGGAATGTAGCGTTTACCTCAGTCGGTCCTGCTAAGGAGTATGCCAGGTGGTCATGCCTCTTTCTCTTCTGGTGTGGTAATGGATGAGCGGGCCGGGGAGATGGCTCAGTAGAATAAGTGTTTGCCTGGCAAGTGCAAGGGCCTGAGTTCAATCCCCAGTTACGGGGGGGGACGGGGGGGGGACTGGGTGAGAGACCATATTCTCTGACCTTTCTCTGCCAGGCAACTGCCTGAGGGCACCCTTCTGGAGCGAGGGTATCGCAGGTTTAGAAGCCACCTCTCCCACAGGACATCACAGAAAGGCCATTGCTCATTCCCACTCACCATCCTAGGTCTGCTGGGTTCTCTAGGCTTGATTTTGCAGTGGGTTTTGGATTTAGAATTTTTTTTCTTTGGGTCTTGGTTTTGAAAATGAGGCCTAATGGCCCCAATTCCTGGTAGGGATTTGGAGGCATTTTTATTCAGTAGGGCTTTTCTAATCTTCTGACTTGCTTCCTACAACAGATCTGCCTGGAAGCTTCTTAGAATCCTAATTCTAGGCCAGAAGTGAACTTCATGAGATTAGACAGTGGGTCACTGACAGCAATGGCTGGGGGCTGAAGGGCAGTGAGCATGAGAGAAGTCGAAAAGCCAGCAGTGCAGTGTCTCTGGTAGCTGAGCTTTTAGACAAACTCAGCTGGTTTGAACTGATTTCGAGAGAGTGCATTTTCCTTTCCGTGCTCATCTGAGCCTATCAGCCAGGGACAAGAAAGCACCGGTGGGATCTGCCACAGGCTGGGGCGGGGGGAAGCAGATTATCCCGTCTTAAACAAACTTGCCAGCTGTGGCCTAGGGTCTGCAGTGATGGATGTAGGTGAGGGCTGTGTTGGCAGCAGGAGCAGAAGTTAAGCCAGGTCCCATCCACAGGCACCTAGTGGAGCTTGCGTCTCAAGGCCAGCTGTCCTGCTGAGCTGCAGGGCTCACAAAGCTGAACCTGGAGCTAAAGGAAGAGGGCACAGTGTGTCTACCTTGGACCTGAGACCTCTGCTGCTGGATCTGAGTCACAGCTCTCACAGCACACAACCCCAGAGCAGGGGGCATAAGCCTTCCTCAGCTCTGCCACTGGCTCACTCTCCTGTGCCTGTAAATTGGACCAGAATTCTAATTTCCTTCCAAGCCTCTTCCCCCTTCCTTTCTCTCTGGCAGCAAACCTTGAGATTTGGCAACTGTTTTCTTTTTTTTTTTCTTTCTGCAGGTGTGTGTGTGTGTGTGTGTGTGTGTGTGTGTGTGTGTGTGTGTGAAGAAAAAGACTCTGTCCAGGTAGAATTGGTGAAGGTGGGGAGGACAGTTACACTTCCAGGGTCAGGGACTTGGCCACAATTTTCCTTAAATGACTCAGACACACCACAGTAACAACTCTCACTGCAATTTTATTTTTACTTTAGAAATAAAAATTTCCTTCAAACCATGTGAGATCTTTGCCACCCACCCACAGAGTAAGACCTACATTCGTAAGCCAAGGGCTCCAGGAGCCCAACTGCAGGGACCCGCCAGGTACCTTCACTGCGCTTCCCCCAGGCCACCCACCACTGTATTCTGGGGGACGAGGAGCAGCTGGGGTGAAGAGCCCACCATCGCCTTGGGAAAGAGCTGGAGCTACAGCCCCTTGGTGCTCACAAGAAATCTCTGCCCAGGATCTCGGCCCCAGGCTGCTCTTTTTACAAATCTCTCAAATGTATTATTTTGGTGACAGAAATGAAGGAGCTTTGTAAATTTTTTTTAAAAATTATGAATCACACAAAGTAGTTGTTTACATCTCTTGACAAAATAGGAACTATAGCAGCAGAATCAAATTGGAAAAATCTTTAGATTAAATAGGCAATAATTAGGTCTGCTGTTTGGGCCTTCCATAGTAAGAAAGTGGTTGTAGTGTTTAGATATGCATTTGGTCTTGGCTTCTTGTACTGCATTTTGCAATAAACTTAAAAAAAAAAAAAAAAAAAGACTGAGTCTGTGAGGACTGATTCACTTTTAAATTTCTCCTCTACCAGCAACTTGGGGAAAATTAAACCTGGGTGGGAGAAACCTAGACAACTATTTTCTCAAGTAAGCTACCCACACTGGCCAAAAACGCAGCTTCACTGTGGTAGAAAGGGACCTCTCAGAGCTGGGGGTAGATTCTGCAGCCCAGGCCATGATGAAGGACAGGAAAGGGGACTCCTCAGACCTGTCTGGGGAGGGGGCCAGACTCATTGCGAAGGTGCTGGCAGTAGTTAGCCCTAAGGGGATGTGTCCCACAGGAGGGAGGAAGGATGTGAGGCAGTGGGAGCTCAAGGCTGTGTCCCCATCCCAGATGGCAGAGGAGGGGCTCAACTCAAGGCCCACACCCATCTTCTCAGAGGGCCGTGCGCCACCACCAGTGCCACCTTGGACGGAGCCTGTCCCAGCCTGAAATATCCCAACCTACCTTCCAAGTATAAAGAGGTCGTTGCCCACCACTTTGGGTTTGCCAACACCACGTTCACCCTCTGCTCACCTTGGCCCGGGCCTCCAGCCCCCTCGGGTGCCTGTCCAGGGCTAAGGCACATATGGAGGCTGAAGAAACTCCTGAGACCAATTCACGTCAATCTCCACACTCCATGGAGCACTAGTGCAGCCGGCCTCTCCCAGGGATGTGACCGGAGCAGCGAGCAGACATTAGGACTTTTGGTGCTCTGCTCCTGTTTCCATGGTCCATGGTGTAGCCTCTTAGGTTCCCCTTTTGATCCTCAGACCCGGGCCCCCAAGTCCCCCCTTCCCCCGAGTTTGGCATACCCGCCCAGACTGAGGCGGTCCAGTCGTGGCCAGCTGCGGTGAGCGCAGTCCCGAGCCGCTGGGGCCCCCAAGAGAAGCTCCCCAAGACCCAGGTCCAGAGACTTGGAATGTTCAATGTAGGAGCCAGAGGGCTGAACTGTGATGATCACGTGACCAGTCTGGGTCCGTGCGCCCCAGGGTGGGGCCAGCCCTGGGCCCTTCAGTGGATAGCTGTTGAGCAGGGCAGGTAATCCCAGGCGAGGATTAGCAGGCTCTGAACGCAGACTCCGCACCGACGGGACAGGTGAGGTGCCCCGACGCGGGGACAGGTCCCAGCTTTCGGGCTCTGTGCAGCCTGTGGCTCGGGGAGTCCTGGGCCCCGGGCTGGGAAAAAGGGCGCAGTCCCAGCCGGGGCCGTCGGGGGGCCGCAGAGCCTGGGCCCGCAGCACCCCCTGGCGGAGCCGTCGCGTCTCTAGGTCTCGGTTCTCATACAGAAGCGTGTTGGCGCAGATGAACACGAACAGGCCGACGCCCATAATCACCGGCCCCAGCAGCCGCAGGCGCTCGTGTGGGCCATGGCCCCGGCCCGCACCGCGACCCTCGCGTCGCAGCTCGCTGACGGGTGGCGAGCTGGCATTGGCAGCCCGGGGCGCTGGGGCTCCGGCGCGGTGCGGCCAGTAGCCGGCCACTGCAATGCCCATGCCCACCAGTACCACGAGCGCCCCCAGCGCAGCGAACGCCCCCGACGGCGAGCGCAGCCGCAGCCGCGCCCGCACCCGCAGAGGCTCGGGCGGAGAGCGCGGACGCCGGCGGCGGCCCAGGCGGCGGCCCAGGCGGGAGACGCGGCCCTCGGGGCTCCTTCGCGCCTCCCCGCAGTCTCCAGGGCTCCCGGCCGTCATCTCGCTGTCGTCTGGGCGCTCTGCGGAGAAAAGTCGGGAGGCGGGCACTGAACCGACGGGCAGAGGCTTGGGGCGCCCGGGCGCTCGGGCTCCAGAGCCGGGAGGGAAGCGCGGGCCGCCTCGCCTTGGCCGCTTGGAGATCCCTGGCGGCCACCCCCGGATTTTCCTGGGCTGAGAAGGAGGGAGCCGCCCCCGCTCGGGTTTTCCGCAGCGGAGCTCCGAGCCAGGGACGCGCGGCAGAAGCCGAGGTTGGCCCCTTCTGCGGGCGGAGAGGAGGGAGGGGGCCGCAGGCCGCTCCCTGGTGCATCCCGGGCTGTGGAGCCCGGCAGCCCGAGCCCTCTCCGCCGGCCCGCGGTCCCGGGACTCGGGAAGCGACCACCGGGCAGCGCGCTCCCGGTAAGTAGCGCCGGGCCCGCCCCACCCCCGCACGTGGCCGCGCCGTACTCGCCGGGGAGGGGCGCTCCGGCCGCCAGGTCTGCGGGGGTCGCCGCGCGCTCCCCAGCCTGCGATTCACATACCGCAGCGCGGAAAGGAGGGGGCGCCACTGACTCCCGCTCTCCTTCCTGCCCCCTCCTTCCAGACTTCCTCAGTCAGCGCCTGGGCTGCAGCAGGAGAGATTCGAGCTAGACTCCGAGAAGAGCGCCCTGGCCGGGCCAGCCAGTCAGAGCACGGGAGGCGGCGGCAGACTTTGTCCAGGATTTTTCTCAACTCGGCCAGAAGAGGCCTTCCCTTCCCCCAGCGGCCCGGCCGGAGCCAGAAGGCTGCGGTGCTGGGCGCGGGGCCTCGCGGACGACTCCCCACTCGGCTCTCCCGTCGGCCCAGGCAAGGCTGCTCCTAGGTTGCGGCGTTTCCAATTCGGGCTCCTCGGGATGAATCATCCCTTTCGCGCCGCCTGGCCTCCTTTCCGGCCTCCTCCGCCCGAGGCCTCAGTGGACCCCGTCCCGGACCGTAGCTGCACCGCCTCCGAGGCCCGGGGTCCCGGCCCGCACTGCTGACACCCCTCGGGGAGGCTGGTTGCGTCCAGTCGCTGCCCGAGCACTGGACCTGGGAGTGGGCAGGAGCAACCGGGCCGTGCGTGGCGTGGCCCCCACGAAGTCCTCGTCCCCGCGCCCCCAGTCTGGTTTCTGCACAGCTGCAGCGCTGGGAGCTCCAGCCAGGCCTGGGGCGGAGGCCCCAGCACCGAGCCCGCGCCGCTGCCGCACCCGAAGCGCAGGCGGGACCGACCTGGCCTCCGACCGCTGCGCCGAGGCCTGGGGCCTTGCGGGGCGCGCAGTGTCGGCTCTGTCCAAAGTCGGGGTTCACAGATAGAAACCGAGGCCCACCACAGCGCAGGGGCCCGCTGGGTTCCACCGCCGCAGGAGTCCTGCGCTCTCGGCACTTCTGGGTGCAGCCTAAGGCGCATCCCAAGAGCAGAGGAGCCCCGACCCCTTTGTCACCGAATGTGGAGCCCTGTTCCCAGCCCGAAACCAGAGGAGTGACCACCCCGCCTCGAGCCACAGCTGGCGCCCAACCCCTACTCCTGAAAAACCACCCTCCTTCTGCAGCCCATCCTTGCTAAGAAGCGACAGCATGCATAGCGGAGACAGGCTACGTGTTCTGAGGCCTCAAGACTCTGGGGACCCCAGGGAGGCGGACACTTGGATGGACACAGCCCAGAAAGTTGCTCGGGCGGAGCCCCCTGTACTCCCGAGTCCCGCACTGCCCACGTCCACACTCCGGCCCCAGGAAAAAGGAGGAGCAAGTCCCTCAGGAAAGGAGGTGACAATCGAAAAGTTAGGGAAAGTGGGTGTCGAGCCCGTGGTCCCTAGTTCTGCTCACCTGGCGCCACCGCGCCCGGGCGGGTCGGGCTCCAAAATCCGCTCGGCTACTCCCCGCGCCGCCCGGGTCTCCGCGAGCCCCGCCCCGGCCCCGCCCCGGCCCGCCCCGGAGCCCCTGG